TGTTTAAATTTTTTAACCCGAGATTTAATTAAATAAATTTATTAATAACGTAATAATTTGAAGGCAATACATACCCATTTGTTAATTTAAATAATATTTATTTTGCGTTTATAAACGAGTACTAGCTCTCTTTGATCAAACCGGAACAAACGTCGCAATCTGTTAGTTTTCATGTGTAGAGTTTGAAAAGAAATAATCTTACAATTAAACCATAACTGCTTTTAAAAAACTTTTATCAGTAATAGTCCCAGTTCTAGAAAACTCCTCGATTCAAACATTATAGTATTAATTCCAGAAATCGGTCAAAAGCTACAAATCTTTGCCACACTCAGTCCATTAGAGCACTCTATTTCGTCATTGAATAATTACGTTGTCGTATTCCCCATACTGGCGTGTTTTTTTACTTTGGGTTTATTATGGTCTAGTTTTTATTTTGTGTTATTTAGTCTTTTAATTATGAGTATGTAGAGATGTTATTTTGCTCCCGATTTTCTCCCTTCTCAAGACTTATCGTACCTCGTACTAGTCTATGATCTAATAGGAACTTTTTTATTTTTCATCTTTACAAAGCTTATAAATTGTTATGAGTTATTACTTAGTCATTTTAGTTTTTATCTTTTAATTAGGGCAATGTCCATATCCAATGGTTTGTAAATTTGGTTTTTAAAGATTATACCTATTAAGTACTTATTTTTTTTATTAGGTTACTCGCCCGCTGTAAATTAAACACAAGAGTATACTAAAACTTTGTTACACAATATAATCAACTTCTATGCCAGAATCCGTCTAGCTATTCGAGTGTAATTGAAAGATAACCATCCAAAGAACCATCACTTTCAAATTATTAGTAAGATTAGAATTTATTCTCCATCCAAAGCATATATAAGTCGCCTCTAATGCCTCAGTAAGCTTACTTCAAGGGAAATTTTCATTTGCGTGGAAGGTGAGTAGGTAGAGTTATACTAATTAAAAAAATTATTAAGTTTGTTTTGCTTCTTTAGTTAGTGGTAAACTCCAATACTTTCTAATAAAAATTTTGAATGAAAACATTAGTTTAGTGTCATTTACCCCACATGCTGCGGCTCCAGCCGCCTTCATTCATCGTATCACGTCGACAAATGAGAGATGACAGGTAGCCCCGCGCGAAGCTTACTGAGTGCACTATCCTGTGATTGTGAGAGCATTGAATAACCGCTAAACGGAGCGTAAAGCAGAAAAAAGCCGCTCGCCGGAATCGAATAAAATGATTCCCCGCGGGAGCCATTCGGACGCAATCCCGCCGTCCCCTGCTAAATGTCTTATTAACTTATGTGCCCCCTCGCCCTTCGTCCCGCTGCCATCCCGCCTAACACGAGAACAATCATGTAAAGTGAAATGAAACGGTTATTTGTTATGTTTGCCCCTTTGAGAAAAGCGACGAGATTCACGGAGTTGTTATTGATTCACACGAACGTTTCTGATGCTTTGTCATTGATTCGTTCTATTACTTCATTTGTTAAACCGTTTTGGGCTGTTGGTTTATCGTAATATCTCATTTTACTTCACGTCTTCAACTTATAATACAACTATGCTTTTTTATAAAAATAGAGTGACAAACGTTCAGTCCACCTGCAGCCAACCTTCCACCTTCAAACAAAGAAGGCTACAGATGTGTCATGTGTGTTACATTTGAGAATAACATTAACTGACTCTAATGAGTTTTATGATACCAACTAAAATGTCGTCTAACTTTATGGGTACCTAGGTATTTTTTCTTTAAATTTAAATGAGACCTTTGACCTGATATAAAATTAAAAAAAATCATCAAAATCGGTTCACAATCGGCAAAGATATCGCGTAACGTACATAAGTTCAAATATGCAATCAAATTGAAAACTTTTATGAAGTCGACTGAAAAAGCAAAAATCTTCATCGTCATTCAAATTTGGTTATTATAAAATCGTCATAACTTTCATAGCTTTACATCACACCACATTTATTAAGTCCTTTCCAAGAATATGGCAGCTGAAAAACATTTCTAGGTTGATAAACTGAGACTAACCACGCTGGGTAGACGAGGTGTCGAGCGGAAAGTCGATAGTAGTATCGCACATCGCATCGCATGCTGCTCCATCACCACCCTATGAAATGTAAAAAAAAATATATGTAAGTTCAGTGACTTTGGAACGATTTTACCGCGTAAGTCAGTCGCCAGGACCTCGTACTACAATAAGCATTGCATTCTGTGTACAAATGAGCTTGGTATTTGGAGAATGAGCTGACATATTCCTACTAAAACGTCGCATTCATTGCTTAAATTTATTAAACTGCAATAATAGCAAAAGAAGTACGGTCACAAAATATCTAATAGTACTAGTATAATTCTAAAATACAATTAACATTTCTTTTTTTCCTTATAAATCATAAAGAGAGCGCTCTTTATCTTCATAAAATTAAGTATTCATTCTTAACGAAGGAATGAATCTAGGCTGGTGCAAGCGCCCGTAACACAAACAATAACAGCCGCCGTGAAATTTAAAAATAAAAGAATACACCGACGCCTAATTGTACCCCTGTTCATGAAATTGTAAAGTTATTCGCGCCCTGCTAGGGTGGTGATGTTTTATGGCGCAGAAACCGCTGTAAAGATGTTCGGAACGCTTTAAAATAAGCGAGTGAGAGAGTAAGAGAGTTGCGCCCCGCACCGGCTTACCTTCTAATTCGATTAAATTAAACAACTCAGAGTTAATCAAATAAATGCACGGCGGCCGCAGGGCGAAGGGCGAGTGGCGGGGTGCCGGACGCGCACCCGCTCATATTTATGTCGGCACTTCTCGAAAGTAATTCAGTGTCAAATATGGAAATAACTCATACAAGCAAGGGCATCCATTCTGATAATGCCGACGGGCGACCGGAGCCGCTTTGATTTATAGAGAGTGGCGTGCCCACCCGCATACACACGCGTGGCTTCATATCTATACACTACAATGTTTAACTTGCAATCTGCTGCAACTAACGTTTATAGTTGCCACAAAATGGTCATGAGGGTGAAATTTGGCCTTAAACATACCTAGTAGCTTAGATGTAACTTTACAGTTTATTATGGCGATTGTTGCAGACCAAGTTTTTTAATAATTTATAGAATGTGTATGTATTAATTATTTACAAAACTAATCACTAATGTATTTATTTCTAAAGTTAATAATTGAATTACTCAAATAAAATTCCTGATTACTTTTAGATCTCATCGAAAACTGAGGTCCAAGGTGAGCAAGTAATTAAATTAATGAATCCTTTAGACGAGAATCTTGAACACCTTAAGTCGGGTAGAATCGCGTTAATTTATTAATTGCCCACTTGACTCGACGGGTGGGCTATAAATAACGGATCTCTCTTAATTTACGAGCAAATTCTACTTTACTTAAATATCAATTTAATTAAGCGGTATTCAGGATAGGATCTCGTCTGCTTTGCGCGCGATAGACCGCTCGTTTGTCTTAGCCAATCAATTCAGTGTTAGATTTTTATTTATTGCTCTCACCATACAAAACACAGCAGCATTAAGCTGCTATATTACGCTGGTATCTGTGAGAGCGTGGTCCTACCCTGGTAGAGCCGACCCATTCATGAAACAACCATAATGTACCTGCAGCGTGGCTGTACCACGTAAAAAATCTGATGTAAATATAGATTTTGAATCCGTAATAAGAGTGAAAATGTGCATCTACAACAGCGCCGACGGTGGTAAAAAGTTTATATATGTACTCGTAAGAGCAGCCTACAATTATTTACTTTCGATAGCACATTCTAGTGTTGAAGCTGAACGAGCTTTCATTCTGCCGGCTGTTCATGTTTTAAGCTGGGAAGTTCAATTGGTGATGAAACATTGCATTATTTGTTATTTATGAGATCAAATTATTTGGAGTATATCTTGCCTTATTTATAAAGTTCTTTATTTTTTCTTTTTTATGCGTTACTTATGTTACTGTTGACTGATTTTAGGTTCAAATTTGATTTACTTAGTTCTTTTTTCATTTTTAAGTTGTTATTTTAGGTTTCTTTTTATTCTTTGATTTTGATTTTTTTGAATATGTTCAATTTTCACTTAGATTTCTTTATAAAATGCATTAAAAGCCTGGGAAAATATGGTTTTTCAAGAATAAAGACTACCTAATGACGTAATTGGAGCATAAAAAAGCGTAACTGTATTTAGCAGATCTGAATTTTTTTAATGTAACTAAATTTTTATAAAAAGACGTTTAAAAAGAATTCAACGGGGCAGTATTAGTTCAAACGAGGCATTCCATCTTAGTCCTCAGGTGTGACAAGGCATCTGCATTTTGATTCTTAATTGAGGATATATGTAAATGTATATGGGCCTTAGCATCCACTTACCATCAGGTGGACTGTGTGCTCGTTTGTCACCCCACGCTTTTTTTTTACAATAAAGTGATTTTTATGTTAATCACTATTTTCTTATTTTAAAGTTATTGAAAATTATTTTCTACTTTTTACTTTGGTAATCTACAAAAGCGTGTTTTTTTTTTTGGAACTAAGTTCTTTTACGCGGCTTACAGTAGGTTGAACTGGCGAAAATCGTAGTTGTTTTATGAATTATTCGCAAATTCTGAGGATCCTTGGCCCGATCCACAGCTGAAAATTTTCCGACTATCTGACATTCACGTAGAACGCGGCATGTCGAGTACGTACGTATATTTTGAACTAATAATTAAGCAAGCTTTCTATATCTGCTTACTATTTTATGACTCGAGTCAATGAGCACAGCTTGATGTCATTCTAAAGGTAAGTTAACAAAATAAAGGCGCACCTCATGTTCGACAACCACGCTATGACTCCTATCTGTAGGCGGTACACTAAACAACTATTTCACTGGTTCTTTATAAAAGAAACCACTTAAACAATACAAAGATCGACGTATAAATATGTCTAAATTATAGAAAACCTAGTTAATTATAGGTAATATCTAAATTAATTTTCATAACAATATAGTTCTTTATCAGGTCTCCTAGTTGGAGGTGGAGGAACTCCACTGGAGCCATGCCGTGTAGCGCCGTACGTGTCGGTGCCACGCCTAACTGGCGTTCCACGTCCTCAACCACCTCCGTTACCATTGACACAACATCCGCCACCGGCCGCTTTCGCACCTTTCGACTCAGCCCTACTCTCCGCTGCTGCACATCAGGTGACTTTATTTCACACACAGTCTAAACTGCATGTAGAGTATAGTAATAAGTGGTAATAATAGTACAAGACTAGAATTATCTATCCGTCTTTTTCAAATCGAGTTTACGTAGGTAGGTGAAGATTATCTAAAATTAAAATCCGATAAGACATTATTTAACCCTTTTTAAGGACAAATCTATAACCAGTTCTCATAATTATTTCCTCTGGAAATAATGATCAAGCTCATTTTTTTTAATAGGATAGGGTGACAAACGAGCACACAGTCCACCTGATGATAAGTGGTTGCTGTGGCCCATAGACATCTACATGTATCCTCGTTTGCGAATCAAAATGCAGATGCGTTATCAGCCATGAGAACTAAGATGGAATGCCTTTTTTCCAGTGAAAAGGGTCTTTGGTTCTCTACACTCACCATACGAAACACAGCAGCATTAAGCTGCTATTTTACGCTAGTATTCGGTGAGAGTGTGGTCCTTCCACGGTCGAGCCGACCCATTCGTGCTACAACTATACTACTAATACTAATATAGCTGCAGCGTGGCTCTACCACGTTAAAACATTTGTCATCATTAGTCCTTTACAGAACATTGTTTGGACTTGGCCCCATAGTAGAGATGACTTGGTAAAATTGCCACGCTTGGTAGGCGTATTTTCTATCGCAATATCGTTACCGGCCTAATTATTATTTTTAATTATTTTTCTATTCGCAGCCTCTTGAAAGGATATCCGGGCTTCGTGGCGTTTAGTCTATAGAAACGTATTCCCCTGTTTTATCCATATAATTGATAATGACACTAGAGCAGGGGTCGGCAACCTTTTGAGTCGGAAGAGCCAAAAATTACAATTTACAAAATTTCAAAGTTTTTAAAGAGCCACAACTTTTTTTGTTGCCAACCATAAATAGTACTTCCATAAATAAAGTTTCTTGATAAAAAAAACTAACAGCCTTTCACAAGTCTACTGCTGAACACAGGCCTCCCCCAAGGAATGCCACAAAGCACGGTCCTGAGCCACCTGCATCCATCGACTTCCTGCATGTCTTACCAGGTCATCACTCCATCTAGTGGGTGGGGCGCCCTACACTTCGCCTACCGGTACAAGGCTGCCTCTCGAGAACCTTTCTTCCCGATCGGTTGTCGGTTCTTCGAGCTATATGGCCGGCCCATTGCCACTTCAGCTTACTAATCAATTGCGCTATGTTGGTTACTCTTGTTCTCGGTCGTTCATTCATGTTCTACTGCGGATATCCTCAATTCTAAGTTTACCGCGCAGAGAAACCCCAAGCATAGCCCTCTCCATAGCTCGTTGAGCGACCTTAAAATTCTTCATACGGCCAGCAGTGAAGGACCACGTCTCAGATCCGTAAGTCATCACTGGCAACACGCACTGGTTGTACAATTTCGTTTTCAGGTTTTGATGTATGTCCAACGAGAAGATGTGTCGTAGTTTCCCGAACGCTTCCCAGCCGAGTTGAATCCGTCGGTTGCCCTCTCAGTCGAAGTTGGACTTACCTAGTCGGACTATTTGTCCCAAGTAACCATACTCGTCAACAACTTCGAATTTAGTGCTCCCAACATCCACAAATTATCCAACAACCACCGGCAGGTGTGACATGGACGTTAAACATTTTTTCATTTTTGTTTTTGCCATGTTCATCTTAAGACCTATCCGTTGGGAGACACAATTGAGGTCATTGAGCATAGTGCTTAGGTCCTCCAGCGATTCTGCAATAAGGACTACATCGTCGGCAAATCGAAGGTGAGTGATTTACTCGCCATTGATGTTAATACCGCATTCATCCCTGTCCAGTAGCTTGAAAACGTCTTCCAATGCAGCGGTGAAGAGTTTCGGGGATATAACGTCACCCTGTCTTACACCTCTCTGCAGTTGGATAGGTTTCGTACTCTGATTCTGTACTCGGATAACCATCGTAGCTCTACTGTACAAACACTTCAGCACTTCGATATACCGACAGTCAACTTGGCACCGCTGAAGGGACTGTACCACCGCCCAAATTTAGACGGAATCAAAGGCTTTCTCATAGTCCAAATACGCAAGGCAAAGTGGCAGATTATACTCCTTTGTCTTCTGTACAATTTTCCGAAGGGTATGTATGTGGTCTATGGTACTAAAGCCTTTTCGGAAACTGGCTTGTTCGGGAGGCTGGAAGTCGTCAAGTCTGCGTGCGAGACGATTCGTAATGACTCTCGAAAACAGCACGTAGACGCGGCTCAGAAGGAAGATCGGTCTGTAGTGCTTCAAGAGAGCGTTGTCGCCTTTCTTGAAGAACAAGACCACCGCACTTCTGCTCCACACCTCCGGAGTAGTGCCACCATGGAGGACGGAATTAAAGAGCTTCTGAAGGACTTCAAGTACCGGTTTTCCACCCGCTTTCAAAAGCTACGCTGTAATTTCATCCTCACCTGGGGCTTTGCCATTTTTAAGGTGCTGGAGAGCCATTCTAGTCTCGCTCAGACTGACGTCCGGGATGTCTTCGGAATAGTGTCGGATAAGACTCGCTCTTGGATCGTTACTCACACTTGCGTGTGGCTCCAACGATGACGTGTACAGCTGCCCATAGAACCTCTCAATCTCACTCAAAATATCAGGTGTCCCGGAAACGATGTTGCCACACTCGGTCTTCAGCCTTGACAGTTGTCTCTCTCTGGCAAAGACTTTGGAGCCTTGGTTCCGCTCCATTGCTTCTTCAATACAAGCTGTATTGAAGTTGCGTAAGTCCCGTCGCATGCATTTGGAGATCTGTCTGTTCAGTTGCCTGTATACTGTCAAATCTGTTGAAGAATGTAGCTTCATCTCCCGTCTAACAGCCATGAGATTAAGAGTGTGATCGGAGAGTTTTTGTGTTCTTCTGCGGCGGGTCTTGCAGAACTTAGCTCCGACTGCATGGACAGTTTCCACGAGCTTGTCATTCATATATATATGTATATATATATATATATATATATATATATATATATATATATATATATATATGCATAATAAACATAAATATAAAATAAATTTTAGTTAATTAAATTTATTTATAGAATATTGATAAATTTGGCTCATAACTTGTTGTTTTAAGTTTCAAACACCACTCTGAATTTTCATTTATTAGTTGGCTTGTTACTTTACTTTTAATTATATTCATGCAAGAGAACGCTTGCTCGCACAAATATGTCGATCCGAAGATAGTCAACACTCCAAATGCCAACTTCTTCACCTCACTGTAGCAATCTGGAAGACTATTCCATGGGTCGAATATAAGTGCCTCAACTCGCGGCATTTCTTTTAAAGCTGTTCATTTTTGTTGCGTTACGTACATACATTTCTGGACCTCCAACCCTTTCAAATTGATTTTCAACTCTGTAGATTTTTAACTCCACAAAGCTTTACTTTTTAAATCGATCAATTGCATTTCTAGAGATCTAGAATCAACTCCAAATGGCTCAGTGTGGATCGATTTTTAAATGTTTATTTTTTATTTTTTAAATAAATAATATTTGTGTATGAAACTAAAGAGCCGCAGCTTCACATCCAAAGAGCCGCATGTGGCTCGCGAGCCGCAGGTTGCCGACCCCTGCACTAGAGCACAGATTTTTACGACACAATATTTTAATAATAATAATAATAATAATATCCTATGTTTGTTTGATTTTTTTAAATCAATTATTTTAAGAACCTTCTCAAATTGCTAAACTTGCCTAGTTATTCCGCCGTTATCAAACATCCAGGAGACGACTTTAAGGAATATAAAAAAATAAAACAAAAACACAGGCACAATAACCACAATTCTTCTTTTATTGTTCTTGAAATCGATCTATTTTTAAAGGGGAAAAACAGGGGAATACGAGAGGATAATTTCTTAAGTTTTCATAGCTACTATCAGTTGAAGCTGCGGTTGTCTATATCGGTGGTACGGGCACAGCGCGACAGCAATTCATTAATTACAGCCCTTCAGAAGTCCACTGGTGAACATAGACCTCTCCCAAGGAATGCCACAAAGCACGAGCCTGAGCCACTTGCTTCCATCGACATTCTGCATGTCTTACAAGGTCGTCTGGTGTCTAGTGGGAGGACGCCCTACACTTCGTCTACCGTTACGAGACTCCACTCGAGAACCTTTCTTCCCCATTGGTTTTCGGTAGCTTGAGCTATATGGCCGGACCATTGCCACTTCAGCTTACTAATCCGTTGGGCTATGTTGACTACTCTGCTTTTACTGCGGATATCCTTATTTTTAAGTCTATCACGCAGTGAAACCCCGAGCATAGCCCTCTCCATAGCTGGCTGAGTGACCTTGAGCTTCCTCATACGGCCAGCAAGGAAGAACCACGTCTCAGATCCATAAGTCGTCACTGGAAATACGCACTGCTTGTACAGTCTTGTTTCAAGTTTTGTGGTATACAGACGAGAAAATGTACTGTATTCTCCCGAACGCTGCCCAGCCGAGTTGAATCCATCGACTGATCTCTCGCTGCCCGTAGAACCTCACTTAAAATCTCAGGTGTCCCGGAAACGATTCTACCACATTCGGTCTTCAGCTTCGATAGTTGGCACTTTTTGGCAGACAAATCTCTGACAAAGATTTTGGAGCCTTGGTTCCGCTCGATCTTCAACCAATACCGTTTGGTGATTCTGAGTATAAGGTACGCAACTCTCGTCGACACACTCCCAATTTTAAAAACGTTGTTAACGAGAGACTTGTGGACACCTCCTTGACTTGTGGAATCCGACACCACCTTGGGAAAAATGGTCGCCCTTCCGGTGATAGAACAAGTTGCCGGATTCAAGGATTACCGTGTCCTCCCCCTCTCTTCGGACCTCAAATAATCCTATAACATCACAGCGCAACTTGTCTATCTCTTCTTCCCGCTCCAGGATTATCTCATCAGTCCTTAGGGTGCGTGCGTTGATGTTGCCTGGTCGAGTCTTCTTAGGTGGCAACCGAACCTCCAGGAGATTCTTAGCACCCCCTGCCCCGCCGTTATCATGGTCGCCGCCGTAGTCAGGATTAGCGGGGCAGCCGTGGACTGGGGGCCGTTTCTTTATGTCGTTGCTTATAAGGGGATGTTTGCCATAGTCATCATCAGTCAACAGCGGATTGGCAACCGCAGTTTTTTTATTGTAGTCTTGCTATTCTCAAAAAGATGCTGTTGCCCATCTTCTGTCTCAGTTTCCCTCTGTCGCCTCTTAGGACACCCATGGCAAGGTATGGGGTAATGGATATTCTTACACCGTCACTACACGGCAGCAATAGTTAAACAACAATTAAAAACCTATTCTTTAAATGTCTGACCGCTCAGATATCACCTTAATAATGTATAGCTAATATGATTGTTATAGTATGCGAGCGCAGCGGCTGCGGCGGCAGCAGCATTGTGTCCGCCGTACGCGGGTCTGGCGGCCCTGGCAGCGCGTTGCCGCTCCTCGTCTATCGCCGACCTACGGCTAAAGGCGCGTCGTCATGCCGCAGCCCTAGCGGCCGCGAGTGCACCCTCCCCACCCGCCTCAGCGCCCGCCTCCTCTTCCGCTTCAGCTGAAACATAGCCGGCGCACCTCGTGTAAACGTTCGAGTGGTTTGGATGTTTCGAATCTTTGACATTATTTCAACAAAGTCTTATTAAAAAGAAGTGTTACCAGACACACAATTCTTAAAACGTCTGCAATAGACGCGAAGACCATTGCTGATTCAGAGACGTTACACATGAGCAATTATGTCAATGGAAAAAAACGACTGAGTTATTTCTAATTTATTTGAAAATTTTGGAATCTGGCAATAATTTTATTTTAACAATCATCTATGAGTAAATCAGAATTAAATATACTTTACTTACTTTACTACTCTTTAAATTGTTGCTTCACGCACCGTTATTCGTTAGCACGTAATATTTAAAGACTTTAAAAAATTGTGGCAAGACTAGTGATTGTTAATATCTGGTATTGTTGCATGGAAAAAGGTAGTCAATCATGCTGTGGCATTTCCTAGTTATTTTTTTATGATTGAGACACAGGATCCTCCATTAATTAAACATTTTGCTTATTTTGTCACAAAGATGTATTAGATAGCAAGAAAACTTAATATTACAGTTAACATTTCTAGATATTAATATCATGCTGTTTCAATGTATTGAGAACATGCGCATATTCGTATAAGATTATATACGATAAAATATAAATTCAGATACGAAGTTAAAAATTGTAAAAATTCGACCAATACTTTAATTTATTTGTGAAAAGTATATGTAAATGAAAAAAACTGTGATAAGTGTGAAAATTTGGTAAAGAACGTTGATCTCAACAGTATCTATCGTGTATTTTAAATCAATTTTATTACGAGTGTAGGTGTGTATACAATGTTTAAATACTTATATTTAGAAATATTTAGTAATGTTAGTAAAGCAGTAAGTAAATATCTATTTCAGAAAATCTCTTAATATAACGAATGTATTTTGTTAATGTATGCCAAACAATGTATATTAACTTGTAATTTTAATTGATTAATATATAATTATATTTCTAAATTCTAAATAAGAGCACCTAAACGTTGTCCCACATTCGTAAAAAAATTGGATTAGAACAGATTTTACTAAAGTAGATAATAATACTTATTGTTAACAATTGCGTACATACCTAACAATAAGTTTTAATATAGTAACTACATACCGATTTAATTTTAAAATATGTTTAAAAAAACATAAGTGATGTAAATATTTATTATTAATAAAGCACGTGTGTATTAAAACACAACTAATTAATCACAAAATTCGCTCTGTTTATAATTGTGTACTTTATTATAGTAAGGAATAAATATTGGAAGACACGGAGCGTTTTCTTTTCCGCACACCCCAAATATTCACGCGCCTGACGCAACTTATAAGTAGGTACTTTTTTAAAAGTATTTTTATTTTTATTTTTGTGAACACTTATCGTCATATTACAATTAATATTGCGAAAAAAAGTTAAGGGTCTAGGCCTCTTCTCATTTCCGAGAGGATTAAGGACAAGGAAATGTCCGCCCCGCTGCCCAAATGCGTATTGGCGAGAAACATGTAAATGATTTCGAAATATTTTTTTCTCTGGCATGCAGGTTTTTTCCTCAGGTGTTGTCCTTCACCTTAAAATCGCAATTAACAATTTCACTGGCGGGGATCAAACCCGGGTGACGTAGTACTATTATTTATTCTGTGCCCGGGTTGCTCGCATTTGCGGCCAGGACTTTTTAATTGCTATTAAACTATTACGTTCAATCGGATACAGCAATAGGTACTTTTTTAGTTTCGGTGTAGTGTATGGATTTTAACATTTAGATTAGCATTATAAATATCTTTTAATAAAGTACCTTTCAAAGTAGTTTTGACTATAGCCGACCACATTACTCACAAGTGGTAAAATTAAATATTTTGTACAACCGACTTCAAAATAAATTATTAAGGATAACTCAAAAACTACTGGTCAAACCTTGATCAAATGTATATGGAAAGTTTTTTATTGGAATAAATTTACACTGGAAACAAAAAAAAGAATTTTCTAAAGCGGTTTAGGCGTCTTCGAGTAATCGGTGAACATACATAAAAAAAAGATTCCGACGAATTGAGAACCTCTTCCTTTTTGAAGTCGGTTGAAAATTATGTGGATCCAAATTTATTAAATGTTTATACACTTCTTACGAACATCACAATGACAATATTCACGGTAAACATAAAATATCGCTCCTTCATAAATCTTGGCGCGATCTCACAGAGTGTAGTACTTTTTAATGCGCGATTGTTTCTACATTTGCGGGCCTGATTGATGGTCTGCCGCAGGGGCTATTGCATTGTTAATAATGAAATCGTGTACGGTGTACGCTAACACGCTGCTAAATATACAATAAGGGTCGAACTTTTCATATATCATGTTGTTACTAGTCACTATTAAATTGTGAATCATTTAAGTGTGATTTTATTTTACTCTCTGTATCTCTTTTAAAAAAGAATAGTGTGACTTATAATAATTCTTGCTGCAGTCTTAAATTTAGAAATAGTAATGCAGCATTTAAAAATGTGCTCTCTAGGAATAAACCATAAAATTCGGATTTTAGGCAGTGTTAGAAAGTTTTGTTTTAATCTTAGATAAATAAGCTTATAAAATATCTACTCTAAGGTTTTAAGTCTTATATCTGTGAAAAGTACATAACAGCTCTTTTTGGATTTTTAATAATTTGTATCCTAGAAAATTCATTCGAATAAAACTTTCACTTTATTTTAAAAGAACATGTACAAAAAAGAAGCATTTAAAATGATTATGTAACAATTTTTTTTATTTTACTTTTATATTTCTCGCAGTCTGCAACGGACTTGGCTACAGGTCACACTGTCTTTAAAATTGTTTAATATTGTAGGTAATGCCTTGTTCTGGTTTTTAGCATAATATGAACATGTCCGCTTAGTGTCCGAGATACTGATTTATTAAAAAAATATTTAAGTATATATATTTATACGTGTTAGAGCCATGCTGCAGCTATATTAATAGTATATAGTTGTAGCGTGAATGGGTCGCGCACTCTCACAGAATACCAGCGTAAAATAACAACTTAAAGCTGCTTTGTTTCGTATGGTAAGTGTAGAGAACCGGAGACCCTTTTTACTGGAAACGAGGAATTCCATCTTAGTCCTCACGAGTGACAAGTGACAACGCATCTGCATTTTGATTCGCAAACGTGGATAGATGTAGATGTCTATGGTCCACAGCAACCACTTACCATCAGGTGGACTGTGTGCTCGTTTGTCAGCCTTATACTATAAAAAAATATATAAAAAAATTGAGGCATTGAGAACTTTCTTTACAGCAGGTATCTTTTGTAGCAGTGTAAATAATAAGTGTCTGGAGGCTACGATGTGCCTGAGATCTCGATATTAGATCTCTTTAGGTTGAAGCAGCGTCACGAAAGGCGGCAACTTCAAAGGTAGGCAGGCGTCTATCCGCTTGCTAAGCGTTACGTTTACTCGCTATAGCGGTAGTGGTCCGCGTTCAGCATGGACCTTTTACGGACTTGTGAACTAGAAGAAGATGTTGAAGAAGCACAGCAAATTTATGATGCTGACTGTTTCTTTTTAATGAAAACAAAATTACAATAACATCTTTATTCATAATCATCATTGCAACCTATCACAAGTGCACTACTGTAATTATAGGTCTCTGCCCAAAACTGCCACAAAGAACGCTCCTAATTCACCTGCGTCCAGTTACTCCCTATACCTAATGTCGTATTGTTATTTATTAGTGGAAGGCCGACCTAGACCGCCACTTGACAACCTTTCTTTCGCATTGGTTGTCGGTTCTTAAATTTGGTTTTTCATAATAAGCCGGTCGATTGCTACTAAGCCATTAACTTATAGGTCAATTAAATTTTGTCAGTATTGTAATTCTATTCCAGACATAATTTATCCTTTTTTATAATTGGTTAAACGATTTTGAGTTTCCTTGATGCTAAAGTAAAATTGCAGATGTAATAAAAAACTGGATTTTTAATTCTCTAACTGTATCACCAGCTGAACAAAAACACATTATTTAAGTGACTAAATATCGTTAATTAAATACCCCTGTCTAACAGAGTATTAACATGTATCGCACGCGTAGTACTGCATTATTTATAGTTTGTCTCATGCAAATGTTGCATCCGAAGTCCAAACGCATTCTCACTTGTTAGGGCGCATATAGACTACAAGTTGCCGGCATGTTTGCGCAAGCTGTTAAAAAAGCACCCGCCCTCGCATGGGGTGCGCCCAATTAGGGCGGCGACGGAGCTGATTGGGCGTAATCGCGTTAGTATCGGAGACAAACATCCCCGCTCGCCGCGCGACGTCTCGACAAACAAATACACATTACCGTACCGTATTCTGATGCTCACTGTATCATTCAACAATTGCTCAGTCTTGATTTTTTATTCTGATTTTTGACAGTTGTTTTGTCGTCGTTGAACAATCCAGTCTTAATGTAATTGTTATGCTCATTACAGTCTATCACAGGTCCACTGCTCAACATACTCGGAGGCGTCCGCTTTAGATAGCCGCAAAGTCTTAAGTCAACTTACACCCTTCAACTCCCTACAACATGTCTCGTAAGTGTTTTTGAGGTCATCACTCCATCCCGTGAGAGCAAATTCACCTATACCCTAAGTGCACGAGAGGTCCGAGCCCAACGCCTTTCCGAAATGTTAAAATGTTTATGTTAAGAGTAAACTTTTGTCTTTCCTAGTGTATTGGTGTTAGGATTAGTAGTGACGGGGACAGTACACATAATTGAGGGTGGACGAGAGGTGATCTTAAAACAAGGTAAAACATCGTTTTATTTTATTACACGAATCTTAGTAAATTATTTTTTAAAGTACCTATATTAAATATAATGGATTTACGCAAAGTAAAGCCCGATTCTATTAATTATCTTAAATTATGTTTTTTTTTTAGTTTGCATTATGTAATTTCCAGCGTGCATTGATAAAAATAAAGAATTGTGTGGAACAGTAGCATCTCAGTTAATTAGTTATTTTAGAAAGTGTCATATTATTT